CACACACACACACACACACACACACACACACCCTGCAGAATTAAGGAATATTGCACCAGACTGGAAGCTGCTGTTACACCGTGTGGCTTCTTCAATAACCGCTACAGTTTTCTGAGTTTTCAGAAGCCTCCTTCCTTGCTATGATTTCCACTTCCTGTCTCCTTCCCAGCCCCCATTGCCCCAATTGATCAAAAAAGGGATAAATTGTTAAGAGGTCAAACGCCCCGTTCAAGCAGGGGACCCTATACCATTCCAGACAAGAGGCCGTCCAATCTCTTCTTAAAAGCCTCCAGTGAGGAACATCCCAAAGTTAGCCTGACAGAGACTTTAGAATAACTTTATTGTCACTTTAAATGTACACTAATCGGCATACATGAAAATGAAATTTCATCGCATGCAGCCCTCAAAAAACCCCTGGAAGCAAAAGCCGTCGCGCTGATGGATCGTCCTCACTGTTAGGAAATTTCTCCTTCGTTCCAGGTTGCTTCTTTCCTTAATTAGTTTCCATCCATTGATTCTTGCCTTCTGCTGCTTTGGAAAATAGGGTGACCCCACCCCCTCTTCCTTGTGGCTGCCCCTCAAATACAAATTACAAAGCTAAGAACAACCATTGCTTGTAGAAACAGAGGCATAGAATCAAAATCAGGTGAGGTGACGTATAACTACCGCTTCATAAAGTCTTAATAAGGCCACACCTCGAATGCTGCATCCAGTTTTGGTCAGCACATTACAAAAAAGACTTTGGAAAAAAAGGCAAAGAAGGGCAAACCGGATTAATTAAAGGCCTAAACCATATGAAGAGTGGTTGGAGGAACTGGGTATGGCCAGTCTAGAGAAAAGCAGGAACGGACATGAGAGCAGTCTTCCAGTAGTTGAGGAGCTGCCACGAAGAAGCTATTTTCCAAAGCACCAGAGGGCAGGAAAAGGGAAAAAATGGATGGAAACTAACCAAGGAGAGAAGCAATTTGGAATTAAGAACAATTCACCTGTGGAACAGTTTGCCTCCAGAAGTTATGGCTGCTACGTCACTGCAGGCTTTTAAGAAATGACCGGACAGCTATTTGTCTGAAATGCTAGTATAGGGTCTTCTGTTTCAGCAAGGGGTTGGACTAGAAAACCTCCATGGTCCTTCCAGTTCTATTCTGATTGGTTGGTTGAAATATTGGAAGACTGCTATCATGTCATCCCCTAGTCCTTCTTTTCATTAGACCACTAGACATACCCAATGCCTGTAACCATCCCGTAAAGTCCCAAACGACTGTTCCAAATATTTTAGTATTTTTTTAGGATTTATTTGATTTGTCAATCACTTACAAGATACAGTTATAAGAATAAACATAGTTTTGAATACATGGGATAGATACTTATAAGAAAAATAAAAAGAAACAATAGGACAGGGACGGTAGGCATGATTGGTGCGCTTATGCACGCCCCCTACAGGCCTCTTAGGAAAGGGGTGAGGTCAATAGGAGACAGTCTGAGGTTAAAGTTTTTGGGGTTTGGGGAAGAAACCACAGAGTCAGGTGGAGTATTCCAGACATTGACCACTCTGTTGCTGAAGTATTTCCTACAGTCAAATTTGGTGCGGTTAACCTTGAGTTTGTATCTATTGTGTGCTCTTGTATTGTTATAATTGAAGCTGAAGTATTCATTTGCAGGTAGGATATTGCAATGTATGATTTTATATACTATATTTAGGTCGGACCGGAGGCGGCGTAGTTCTAAGTTTTCTAGGTCTAGAATTTCGAGTCTGGTGGCATAAGGTATTCTGCAACGAGTAGAGGAGTGGAGAACTCTTCTTGTGAAATATTTCTGGACTTTCTCAACTGTGTTAATATCAGATACGTAATGTGGGTTCCACACTAATGAGCTGTATTCAACTATTGGTCTAGCAAATGATTTGTATGCTCCAGTTAGTAGTGTGATATTACCAGAGAAAAAGCTATGTAGGATTAGGTTAACAATTCTTAACACCTTTTTGGCTATGTAGTTACAGTGGGCTCTAGCACTTAGGTCATTAGAGATGAGTACTCCAAGATCCTTGACAGAGTTTGGATCATCATCAAGGTCTTGACTATTCAGCCTGTATTTTATTTTCTGAATTTTTTTTGCCAATATGTAAGACAGAGCATTTATTTGTTGAGATTTGAAGTTGCCATTTGTTTGACCATTCTGATACATAGTCAAGGTCTTTTGGGAGGGTAGTAGTATTGTCTGTGGTGTTGAACAGCTTTACATCATCAGTGAAGAGAACGCAGTTGCTCTTAATATGAACACAGAGGTCATTTATGTAGAGTATGAAGAAAGTTGGTCCTAGAACCCTTGGGGGACACCACTGTTGACAGGTACAGAATTTGATAGGATGCTCCCAATTTTGATCATTTGTTGTCTGTTTGACAGGAATGCTTCTATCCAGTTATGCAGGTGTCCAGAGATACCATAAGATTTTAGTTTTAGGAGTAGTTTGTCGTGTACCACTGAATCAAAGGCTTTACAGAAGTCTATGTAGATTGCGTCTATTGCTTTGCCCTGATCGAGTTGTGTAGTCCATATGTTTTTGCAGTGTAAGTGTTGCAAATTACAGGATAGTTTTTTTCTGAAACCAAATTGTTTATTAGAGAGTAGGTTGTTTGTCTCTAAGTGGAGGATGATGGATTGGTTAATAATTGATTCCATGACTTTATAGGTGACGCAGCATAAAGAGATTAATTTGTAATTTTCAACTAGGCTGGGGTCTCCCTTTTTGAAGATGGGGATGACCGTGGCTTGTGACCAGAGTTTTGGCAAGGAGCTGGTCCTGAAAGATTTTTCAAAGATTATGCTTAGAGGTTCGACTATGGCAGTGGGTAGCTTTTTTAAGAAATAGGCACATATTCTCTCCGGTCCAATAGATAGGGATGGTTTTAGATTGTGCAGTGCTCTTTCAACAATGTCTTCTGTAAAATCGATATGTATTAGATCATTGAAGTTGACTTTAATTCGACTAGGAAGTACTGGGCTTGATTCCTTGCTGTTTACAAACACTGAGCCGAAGAATGTGTTAAAGATGTTGGCTTTGATGGTGTCGTCGCTGCAGTCTTTGCCATCAGGTCCTATCAAGGGAGGGATGGACCTTGAGTCTTTTAGTTTGTTGTTTACAAAATTGTAGAAAGCGCAGGTGGAATTGGTGCGTAGAAGGTTTTCTTCTTGTTTAATGTGATAATTGGTGCATTCAGTTTTTATCTGGTGGCATAAATTTTTGTATCGGCTTTTGAAGTTGGCAATGTGACCAGATTTGTTTTTCCACCAAAGTGATCTCTTTTTGGATTGAAGCTTCCTTATTGTTATGGGTAATCTGTTTTTCCTGGTTTTTGGAGTTGTTATTGGTACATATAGTTTGATGACTCTTTTGATTTCAAGTAAAAATATGTTGTAATGGTCTTCAACAGTATTGCATCCAGTGAATAGAGATTGCCAATCAAGGGATGAGAGATCATTGTCTATAAGATCATAGTTGCCTTTTTTGAAGTTATAATTGGGGATCACATCATTGTGTTGATTTTTGTGTGGGCATATGTTGAGACAAAAGTCAATAATGTTATGGTCACTGTTGGAAAAGGGTTCTTTAATTTGTATTCTGTAAATTGAATTCAAACTATTGCAGAAGATGAGATCGAGGCAGTTGTTAAGTCTAGTATTGTTGGTTACTCGTTGTTCCAGTCCCAGGTTTGTTACAGCATCGTAGAAGGTTGCATGTGTGGGTTCAGTTCTACATTCGTTTAGGGTCCACTTAATCTGAGGTAGATTGAAGTCACCAAGAAAGATAAAAGCGTGTGGTGGACAGGATGTTGCCCATGTTAGTAGTGAATTTAGTTTGTTTACATGTTCGATGTCATAATCAGGGGCTCTGTAACATAGTAAGAACCAAAATGTGATATTTAAGTTCATAGATAATGGTCTCAGGAAGAACAAGCTCTTGGGTAACTTGGATGTTTTTTAGATGTAAGGACTTTTTATAGAAGATAGCAACACCACCTCCTCTACGGATTTCACAATCAGATCGGTAAACATGATAGTCTCTTACTGAGGTAATGGAGTCAGGGAGAGATGCGTTGAGCCATGTTTCACAGACAAATATGAAACAAATGAATGGTGTCTTTTTTTTCTTTAATCAAAGCAGTCGATTTAGCCGTCTCTGCTAACTCCATCAACATTTTCTATTTACCTGTCTAGCCTGCTGTGCACTGTATTTAACACCGGATGTTGTTCCCTCCAGACAACTTGAAGGAGTTTACCTTGGTGAGTTTAAAAGTTTGCTAGCTTGAAGCCAGAGGGCTTTTTCTCCAGAAGCCCTGTCGCTGATAAGGGTCGCTCCTCCAGGTCGTTCCCGGAAATAATTTGATTTTTGGATTCGTTTCAGCTCTCCGGGATCTGGAAGGTGATTGTGAACCTTCAGTGGCTCGGGTGGCAACTGCATCGTTAGAAGAACTATTTCGACAGTGTGGCCACAGGATAAACCCCGATCTAGTTAGTAGCCAACTCCTTGCCAAAGTCATTGGAAGCATCTCTATACAGCCCTCTGAGGCCCAGCAATAAATCATTTAAGAGTTTAATGGTTTACTTTATTGTCATTGCACCTCGTACGATGAAATTAAATGCCATCTTTGGTGTACATATGTGTGTGTGTGTGTGTGTGTGTGTGTGTTGCAGCATAACTCTGGAACGCCTTGGCCGCTGAAATGTAAAGGAATGAAATATATATATATATGAAAGTGATAGTGTGCATTTTGGATTCAAGTTCTGTTAAGATACAGCCTGTTGTACTTTAAATGGCTTCTACTGTACAGCACAGTGAAGTTGCCATGGTAACAGGTTCACAGTACTCCACAAGGGGGCTCCCTCTGGTAAGGGGCTGTCAGCTGCTGCTCCATTCAAAATCCAAGAAAGAAACCCTTAGACTCCGTTAATTAGAGAAAAAAAATATCTTTTACTGGAAATCAAGTGGTAGCATCAAAGGAATTCTGAATCTGAGGAACTGAGTGCGAAAATCACCTATACAAAGTGATGGCAACGTTCCTATCCACAAGAGTTCAAACTGTCCATCCAATGAAAAGTTGCATGTAATGTCATGTGGGGCATCTTCAGGTGGTGAGGAGGCATCTGTCCGTTGACCTTGGCCTATTTTGATAAAGGGATGCGCTTGCGCATAGCATAGGAAAGAAGCACAAACAAGAAACTTCCCCCACACCCCCACTTATACAGTTTTGGATTGCAGGAAATACGACTTCAGCAACAGAGTGGTCAATGTCTGGAATACTCTACCTGACTCTGTGGTTTCTTCCCCAACCCAAAAACTTTAACCTTAGACTGTCTACTATTGACCTCACCCCCTTTCCTAAGAGGTCTGTAGGGGGCGTGCATAAGCGCACCAATGTGCCTACCGTCCCTGTCCTATTGTTTCTTTTATATTTTTATTTTTCTTATATGTATCCATGTATTCATAACTATGTTTTTACTTATACCTGTTATCTTATAATTGCTTGACAAAATAAATTAAATAAATAAAAAATAAATAAATAAATTTCAACGCTCTCTCCTAATGCCAACCACCATATCAGTTAGGCACACCTAATAATTTCATTATTCAATTTCCTCCTCAATTTTTTTTAAATATAAAAGAATCTCATTTGGCAAGCAGTATGGTTCCAGGTTTCAATACAATACAAACATGACCATATTTACCTATTCATTTTGTTTGTTCAATTTCATATCACATTAGCCTTATTAGCATTTAAGTATTAAACTTATCCAATTCCAATTCATATTATAACTTATTTCATTCATTAGAGTATTCTCATATCTTATTTTACAATGCTATTTGAAATTCTCATCTCATTTCTATATTCATTTCCCAAATTACCTTTATCTGTCATATTTGCAATTTTATCAATCCTTAAGTTTATTAATGCAAAATTGTCCCCTCTGATTATTAATTCGAGCCAGCCACCTTCAATCTATCTTGATACCATCTCCCTAATTACTATATCACACACACACACACACACACACACACACTTTTTTGTCAGATTCTGCATTACATTTTCTCAATCACCTTATAAATCATCTGTACATTACAAAAATATTAGTCTAATCAATTAATTATAGCAACTGATATTAATCCTTCCATAATAACTCTCATTTCATCAACTTCCGCCTTTTCTTATACATCGTTAATCATCAACATATGATATTTTTATTATAAATTCCCAATTCCATATTTATTCCATTAAATTCCATGTCTAGTATAGCAATAATTCTTTAATAACAGGAAAGAGAAAGGAAAAAAGAATCTAAAAGAAAAAAATCACATCAGTTACATATTTATCTATTTTCTATATTTAATCATTTATATCACACCTTATTACCTTGTGGAATCTCTTTCCTGTCCTCTTTTTTAATTTAACCCATTGTCTCTCGCTCTTTTAACAATATAGTTCCTTTTCATCCTCTTTTGCTTCCTGTTTCTCTTTATTTTCTGGTCCTTTCTTTTAATTCCCCTTTTCCCCATTCTTATTCCTCTCCATTTCTCATTCCAATTAACTTTTTCTCCCTCCCTCTTTTGATTTTTCTTTTGAACTTGCCTTTTCAACTTTTTCCCTCTCCTTTTTTCCATTTTTCAAACCATTTTCCCTTTTATTATCACATCAGACCACACATTTTTAATTTTAATTCCTTCCCCCCCCTGCTTAAGTAATTGTTGATCCCTTTGTTCTTCAAAGCTGGCTTCTTCTTTGTTAAATTCCTCCCCCTCCGGTTTGCATTCTTCTTCTACACGCTGGGTCACCATTTCTAATTTCTGTAATACGTAATTACACATTTCAAATCTAGTTTTCATCATTCCCTTTATGTCCTGCAAGTCCGCTCTCATTTCAACAAATAATTCTTCCATTGTATCTTCTCATTTTTTCTTTTCCTCTTCCTTAATTGATATATTCAGTCCCAAAGTCCAGTATATTATTTCAGCCAGTATCTTTTAAATTTATTTTCAACAATGTCCTTAAATCCCTGTTCCAAATTTTCAAGTGGCCCTTTCCCAACTGTTTCCCACACTCACCAGGTGGTTCTATGTCGATATTTTCAAATATCTTCCCCTTTGTAGTATTCTAATGTCACTTTCCAGGGTTTTTGTTTTTTATAATGGAGTTTCTTTTACTTTCTTTTAAGTTCCAAAGTCCAATTTCTTAGAAACACCAAACACTTTTTTAAAAAAAAGATCACTGAAGTTTTCCTGTACCATCAGGTGGTGCTCTTGAGCCTTTTTCACTGTCCACTCCTTCCTTAACTTTAACTTTCTTTGTTGAATATATACTACTTTTATTAAATTCGCTAATTTCAATCATTAACTATTATTTTTTTCCATTTCCACAGACTCAATTTCAGCATTTAATTATGCCCTTTGAGTGCCAATAATCCAATAGTTATCCAGTTTAATTTCTAAACCTTTGTTGTGTTCAAATGTTTTCCTTTAAATTTTCTCCTCCAAATTAATCCAGTACAGTAATTCAAGCCAATTTTATAAAATCCAATTTCCTTCTCTCTCTCTTTGGTCTCAGCTTCCACACACTTTCCTCCAATATGGTCCTTTATTTTAAGTACCAGGGTACCTCAAAATCCATGTATTTTGCCAGGTTCGCACTCTGCTTGCTTCTTCTCTCCAGCACAAACTTAGTTTCCCGGGCTGTTCTTTGCCTTTGTGGTGGCCATTTTAAGACCACTGCTACCGCTTGCCTTTGGAAGGGGTGAAAAACCCCTATCAGCGAGGGGAGTTGTGGCTCCCCTCAACCCTCCAGGTGATTCCCCCTTTCTTCACCACCCCTCCAGGGTGGTTCTGGTCACGATTGGGACCCTCCAGCAAGTTAGCTCGGAGCAAAACCACGCATGATTGTGGATTCCGCTCCAACTAAAACAACGAGCAAACCGGAAGTTCTAAAGCAGTAGTGGGTTTCGAAGTGGTTTGCCACCGGTTCGGTGGGCATGGCTTGGTGGGCACGCTTTGCACATGCACAGAGGCTTTCCTGCTCCCCTCCTGCAATCCTGCACTCTCCCTGTGTCTTCAACAGCTGACGCACAGCTATCTGTTGTGCCGCGCAAAGCAGCTGCACTCCAAAAGGAGGGAATAACCCCTTGTTTAGTGTCTGTTTGAAGCTACCATAGCACTGAAAAAAAGTGATTGACGTCTGTTTTTCAGACTGATGACCAATGCAGCCTCCCTGTGGATGATTTTCCACAAGCTAAGGTTGTCCTTGATTTACGACCACAGGTGAGCCCCAAATTTCTGTGGCTAAGTGGGAAAATTTGTTAAGTGGCTTTTGTCCCATTTTATGACTTTCTTCGCCACGTTTCTTCAGTGAATCACTGCAGTTGTTAAATTAGTAACAAGGTTAACCGATTAACAGATTTGGAAGGAACCTTGTAGATCAGGGGTCCCCAACCACCGGTCCATGGACCGGTACCGGTCCATGGAACAAATCCTACCGGGCCGCTGGTTTGCTGGGCGCCGCCATCTTGTTTTGATGAAAAAGTGCTTCCGGTGAGCTTTCTACCCGGAAAAGCTCACCGC